GGGACAAACCAGTGGCTGAAGACACCTGGGAGTTATGGGCATATTCAACCCAAGGTAGGTGGTGGGCCCAGGTCGCAGGATTGTCCTCCACAACACAACGCAGTGCAACCTCCAGCTCCTGATTGCATCTCTCTGTCTGCCCATTAGACTGAGGATGATATCCGGAGGTGAGGCTCGTTGTTGCTCCCAGGGTTTGGCAGAAGGCTTTCCAGACACGAGAAAGGAACTGGGGTCCTCTATCGGAAACATTGTCAGTGGGGATGCCATGGAGGCGAAAAACATGGTTAGATATAATCTTTGCGGTCTCAAAAGCAGAAGGTAATTTTGGAAGAGGAATGAAGTGAGCCGCTTTAGAGAAGCGATTGATGACAGTACATATGGTGGTCATACCAGCAGAGGGGGGAAGACCGGTGACAAAATGTAATGCAATATGAGACCACGGGCGATGAGGTGCAGGTAAGGGAAGGAGAATTCCAGCAGGAGGCTTGTTGTTATTCTTGCTCCGAGCGCAGGTATGGCAAGCTGCTACAAACTCCTTCACGTCCTTGGTCATGTTTGGCCACCAGAAGTACTCCTTGGCAAGAGTTAGCATACGTGGAACACCAAGATGGCAGGAAAATTTGTCCGTGTGCAACCAGGTCAGGACTTGACTCACCATAGAGGATGGTACGAATGTCCTACCTGGGGGTCCCGTACCAGGATCCGGTTCGGTGAGTTGGGCCGCTCTGATGTCCCTTTCAATGGACCATGTCACAATGCCCACAGTACAGGATGCCGGGAGGATGTCCTCAGGAGAGTCAGCGGCTTCTGATGGGGACAACTGTCGAGAGAGTGCATCAGGTTTAATGCTTCTTGACCCAGGGATATATGTTATGGAAAAGTTAAAGCAAGCAAAAAAAGTGACCACCGGGCATTCAGCCTCTTAGCCCCTTGGATGTAGGCCAGGTTCTTATGGTCTATCCTAATGATGAAGGGTAGCTCGGAATCCTCCAGCCAGTGCCTCCACTCTTCTAAGGCTAGTTTGATGGCCAGAAGTTCCCTATTACTAACGTCATAATTTCTTTCGGCGGGGGTGAGACGACGAGAAAAGAAAGCACAAGGGTGCACTCTGTTGTCCGGACCTCTTTGAGAAAGCACAGCTCCTACTCCTGAGTCAGAGGCATCGACCTCAACAATAAACTGCTTGTGAGGGTCGGGGTGGGAGAGGATGGGTGCAGAAGAAAACAGTCCTTTGAGTTCCTGAAAAGCTGCCTCAGCCCCTTGAGTCCAAGAAAAACGACGCAAGGTCGAGGTAAGTTGGGTGAGAGGAGCGGCAATCTGACTGTAGTTCTTGATAAAACGGCGATAAAAGTTAGCAAACCCCAAAAACGTTGTAATTGTTTCTTGTCAGTCGGTTGTGGCCACTCGGTAACTGCTTTAATCTTATCAGGGTCAGAACGAACATGCCCTCTCTCAAAAATGAAACCTAAGAAGGTGACAGTAGAAGCATGAAATTCACACTTCTCAGCTTTAACAAACAAGTTGTTCTCCAGGAGTCTCTGTAGAACCGCCTGAACATGTTTGGGGTGTTGTTCTTCGTCTCTGGAATAGATTAAAATGTCATCCAGATAAACAAAAATAAAGATGTTGAGAAAATCCCTCAACACATCGTTAACTAAAGCCTGAAACACTGCCGGGGCATTTGTTAGCCCAAACGGCATGACCAGGTATTCAAAATGCCCTAAAGGGGTCTTAAACGCAGTCTTCCACTCATCCCCTTTACGGATACGGACAAGGTGGTAGGCATTGCGAAGATCTAATTTAGTGAAAATTACGGCATCCTGAAGCTGCTCATACATTGAGTCCATGAGCGGGAGAGGATACTTGTTTTTGACCGTAATTTGGTTAAGACCCCTGAAGTCGATACACGGTCTGAGAGACTTGTCTTTTTTAGCAACAAAAAAGAAACCGGCTCCAAGAGGGGAGGTCGAAGGCCTAATGATACCCGACTTTAAAGATTCATTAATATACTGGGTCATAGTCTCCTTCTCGGGACCTGTCAGGTTGTATAACCTGCTAGAAGGCAAGGGGGCCCCAGGAAGGAGCTCTACAGCGCAGTTGTAGGGCCGGTGAGGAGGTAAGGATAGTGCTTGCTGCTTGCTAAACACTCGTGCTAGCCTATGATAATTCTTAGGGACCTTAGAGAGGTCATTCTGTTCCTGGGTAGTCTTCTTACAGACCCCAGGGGAGACAGCGGAGAGAAGGCAAGATTTACCCCACTGTTCGACCCTGCCATCAGACCAATTAATAAGTGGGTTGTGTATCTTTAATCAAGAAAAACCCAAAATGAGTAGAGGTTTAGACGAGTCAAAAATAAAAAAATTCTCCTGTCTCATGATGGTTGCCTGACACCACAAATTTAATTTTATTATTCTTGTGGGAAATGGAAGAAATAGTTTTCCCAGTAACAACCACCACAGGATGAAGAGCGGTAGTGGGAATTTGCAGCTTATCCACCATCCCGGCTGATAAGATTTTGTTCTGCACCAGAGTCGATTAAGGCCTGGACAAAATAATTAAAATTATCAGTACATAAAATCACAGGTATGCACAGATTTAATTCGGAGGAGGAAGAATAATTACCCACCAGAATCCTCCGTTCTACTGGTGGGCTCTCTCTTTTAAACGTAGCCGACAGGAAGGAAGATCATGTCCCTTCTTACCACAATAAAGGCATTCGTGGTTGAATATTCGGCGTTGTCGTTCCTCCGGAGACAGGCAAGTTCTACCGATTTGCATGGGCTCTGGATCGGCTGAACCAACAGGGGGCGAGAGAGAGTTAACCTTGGAGACAGAGTACTCATGGGAAAAGTAGTCCTCCATAACCTGTTCCCGGAAACGGTTGTCGATTC